AAACCCTGGATGTGTATTTTGACAATGGTGAGAGAAATGCCCACAATGATTTGTGTATTCCCCTTTTTAAATGTGCCATTGCTTCTATTTGGGTCTTTATTTATGTTTTTTGTTACATTTCAGGAAACTGGTCACAGATTTTTTTTTGGTATAAAAACATTTTATATTTTTTCCCATTTAAAATGCTGGAAAATGGCACTGTACGTGAGTACAGAATTCTACTTTCAGAAATGACAGGTCTTTTCAAAAAAAATCTAATTTACTCTTCAGGGAAAGTTTACATGACTAAGAAAAATTGAACAGCAACTGGCAAGAGCCTGGGGAAAACAGTGCTCAGAAGGTGGACGCTATTGGTGTGTTGTTTTTTTTTTGAGACAGGGCCTCTCTACATAGCCCATGCTCTCCTGGAATTCACTTACGTAGTCCAGGAGGCTAGCCTGTAACTCAGAGATCCACCGATCTTTGCCTTTGCCTCTGAGTATTGGGTTTAAAGGTGCCTGGCACCAAGCTCTGTCCAGGCATGGCTTTATCTATGCCTGTTCAGTAACTAGGCATCATGGCTTGCTCTCCTCTCTGCAGGCAGCTGGTATGTGAAAAAGTGTGCGAACCAATTGGGCAACTGCAGGAAGGTGTGCAGAAAAGGAGAGTTGTCGACACAGCCTGCTACGGGGATGTGCCCCAAAGGAAAACATTGCTGTATTCTGAGCTTCAAAATTTGTGGTGGGGCCTCAAGCAACGGAGAGGCGGGTGGTACAGCAGGCACAGGCGGGACTGCAGCAGCAACTACCCCGAAGGCCACCACTGCTGCTGCCTGAACGCTGCAGCCTGTCTCTTGACCTAATGGTTAATTAAAGCAAAGAGGCCTAAACCGGTGTTGGTTTCCTCTCTACAACCCTTTCCTTTCGCCAGATTTGGCAAGGCACCCTGTCTCCTCACCGTAGCAGTTTCAGGGTGGGGCACAAGAGGGGTTAGTTGCCAAGCTCCCTTCAGAACTGAGAAGTAGAAGCCTGGCTTCCTAAACAACAGGTACAGACCTTCAACAACCCCCCCCCTCCACGTGCGTGCCCTGACCAAGAGAGCCAAGCTTTAATGTACCAAGCGTGGGGAGGGACGGCTCAGGCACTGAGCCTCACAAGCAGCCCAGCCCTAGGGTAGAACCAGAGCCTGGACTTGTGCAGCTCACAAGGATGCTAGTGTTAACAGGGGATGGCTACTTGAAGGCAGAAGTGATTTTCTATGAATTAAAGGCAATATTCTCAGTTTGAGATAGGATCTCACTACGTAGACCAGGCTGTCCTCAAACTCGTGATTTTTCTGCCTTAGCCATCCAAATGCTGGTGTTGCAGGCATATGCTGTGAGACCCAAACACCTATACATATTTTTAAATGACTGTAACAATAGCAAAGCACCCTGCAGGGTGGGAGAGAAGCCTCTGTGTTGCTCTTACAGAGAACCAGGGTTCAGTCCCCAGCACCCACAGAGCAGCTCACAATCTTGTGAAACTCCAATTCCAGGGGCTCTTTCTCTCTCTTCAGGCCTCTGGGGAACCAGTTACAAATGTAGTACACAAGCCGGGCGTTGGTGGCGCACGCCTTTAATCCCAGCACTCGGGAGGCAGAGGCAGGCGGATCTCTGTGAGTTCGAGGCCAGGCTGGACCGACAGCCTCCGAAACAGAGAAACCCTGTATCGTAAAACCAAAAAAAAAAAAAAAAAAAAAACCAAATGTAGTACACGTATGTGAATGCAAAAGAAACACCCATACATATAAAATAACTTAAAAAATCATCCTGAAGAACTCCTTGGTGGGCACCTTCTTATGTGTGACTTCCCCCACCAACCCAGGTCCTGGTACAGCAGCCTCACTTCGAAGAACAGCAAACAATTTCTGAGACAGACTCAGCCGCCTATACCATGATGTTATTGCTAGTCATATTTCCCTTGCAAATTTGAATTTTAGCTTTCAGCTTAGGTAGGAAGGAAGAGATCTCAAGGACTTTGGTGTGACCTGAAGACTGGGCAAGATCCTCACCTTAAGTAGCAGGATTTTTCTAAGGTCTCTGTCCCCCAAAATAGCTTGACAGCAGCACCCTGGTCTACTCTTCCTTCCTCAGCCATAGCTCTGCAGAGCACTTTCTTGGTACATGCAGTAGCCACGCTTGCCTGTTAATCAGTCTGATTACTTGGGGGATAGTGAGTGGGGTGGGCTGAATACCTTCCTCCCCATCTTTGGCACAGCAACATACTTCCAATTTAACACAAACAAAACAATGACAAAAAAAAAAAGAAGGGCTAGGAAGATTCTCAGCAAAGTACTTGCTGCAAAAGTATAAAATTCACTCTCCAGAATCCAGATAAAGCACTGGCTGACTTGTAGCCTAACGCTGTGGGGAGCACACAGGAGGATGCAGCGTTGTGGGGAGCACACAGGAGGACCAGCGCTGTGGGGAGCACACAGGAGGACCAGCGCTGTGGGGAGCACACAGGAGGATGCAGCGTTGTGGGGAGCACACAGGAGGACCAGCGCTGTGGGGAGCACACAGGAGGACCAGCGCTGTGGGGAGCACACAGGAGGACCAGCGCTGTGGGGAGCACACAGGAGGATGCAGCGTTGTGGGGAGCACACAGGAGGACCAGCGCTGTGGGGAGCACACAGGAGGACCAGCGCTGTGGGGAGCACACAGGAGGACCAGCGCTGTGGGGAGCACACAGGAGGACCAGCACTATGGAGGGCAGAGAGTTGCTTGGACTTCAGGTTCGGTGAGATCCTAACTCCAAGGAGTAAGTGGAAAGTGATAGACCCAATGTCCTCTGTTCTCCACATGGGCATAAAGGCACTGTGACCACACACCACACCACACCACACCACACCACACCACACCACACACACACACACACACACACACACACACACACACACCACACACGGAAGAGAGAGAGAGAGATTAATTTATGCCTTGCCCTCCTAACAAGCCAAAGATTGAGTGTAGACACCTAACAGTGGAAGGAAAATATTGTTACAGTGGCCATCTCCACTCTTGATGAGTCTGAGTGCCACCAGTACACAGTCCTTTCCCTTCACGTGATCCTGGTCCAGTTACTAAAAATCCATATACATCCAACCTTCTCTGACACACGCACTGGTTCCTGTCTCCACCATCCTCCACGGGATCAGTCATCATGACTTCCGGTGGTGGCGTCACCAGAGCCTCCCACGGCTCCCTCTGTGCTCCTCTCACACATATGCAGCCATCTTCTACCGTGGCAGCCAAGTCAGTTTTTTGAAACTCAAATAGGACCACTAATCTCCCCTCTGAGGTCTTCGATCAAAACATGGCAACCGACACTCAGGTCCAGTATCATTGCCCACTGTGTTTGAGCCTGCGTGGGATCTGCACTTGTACTTCCTGTCACTCTCCACACAGCAACTTGACTTCCGGCACACGTCCTCACCTAGAGGTTGACTGGCGCTCTCTGGATTGCTACTAGCGTCCAGATAAATCTCTTTCCATTACCTCTGCCTGGGGAGGGGGCGGGAGCAGAAGGATCTTATAATTCTTGTTAAGGACATAGATAACCACATTGCAGAACTCTTCCGCTTCTGAGGCTCCACTATTACGTTTACTCTACAAGTTTGTGCCATCTATATGTCTGCTCACGACATTTGTTCAATTGTGGAAACCGTTTTTCTCCCTTATCATCCCCTAGCTAGCATTTCTACCAACTCCTTTTTTTAAAATTATGTGTGTGCACAGCAAAGTGCAGGTGTCAGAAGAATCCAGAAAAAGGTACCAGCTACCCTGGAACAGAAGTTTCAGATGGCCGTGAGCTGCCTGATGTGGGTGCTGGGAATGGAGCTGAGGACCTCTGCCAAAGCAATGAGCACTTTTAGTGACTGAGCCATCTCTCCAGCTCTTAAATTTTTTAATTTTTATTTGTGTGCCTGTATGTGGTACATGCCAGTGTGTGTGCCCACAGAAGACAGAAGATGGAATCAGATTTCCTGAAACTGGTATCTAACACGGGTGCTGGGAACTAAATGCAAGTCTTCGGCAAGAGCAGTGTGTTACTCAGGGTTCTCTGGAGGAACAGAACTGATGGAATGAATCTACATATTAAAAGGGTACGTGTAAGAGTGGCTTACAGGCTGTGGCCTCGCTAGTCCAACAATAGCTATCTCCTGATGGGAAGGCCAAGAATGCAGTAGTTCAGTCCGAGAGGCTGGATGCCTCAGCTGTTCCTCAGACTGTGTTGGAATCCCGAGGAAGTAGATTTTAACACCAGTAGAGGAATGCCTCCTTGGCAGGTCAGATGGACTTGCCAGCAAGAGCAAAGGCGTGCAGGGAAGAAGCAGAAGCTCCCTTTCCCACTCCCTTCTACACGTAGGTGTGACCCAGACTCCCTGTGGTTCTTCCAGCCTCAAATGATCCAGGTCTAAGGTGAATCTCCCTACTTTAAATTATCCAGTCAAGAAAAATCCCACCAGGCGTGGTGGCTCACGCCTTTAATCCCAGCACTCAGGAGGCAGAGGCAGGCAGATCTCTGAATTCAAGGCCAGCCTAGTCTACAAAATGGGTTCCAGGACAGCCAGGGCTATAGAGAAATTCTGTCTCAAAAAGAGAGAAAGAAAGAAAGAAAGAAAGAAAGAAAGAAAGAAAGAAAGAAAGAAAGAAAGAAAGAAAGAAAGAAAGAAAGAAAGAAAGAAAGAAAGAAAGAGAAAAAGAAGGAGGGAAGGAAGGAAGGGAGGGAGAGAAGGAAGGAGGGAGGGAGGGAGGGGGAAAGAAAAAAAGAAAACTCTTTCACAGGTGTGCCCACTTCCTTGGGTTTTAATTGCTTTCAGGTGTAGTCAGGTTTACACACAAGATTGGCCCTCACATGCCACATGTCCTCCTAGCCACTGTGCCATACCTTCAGGCCTGTGAAGTCTGTATTAAGTCTTATTGATGAAGTAAAGGGGGATCTGCATGACCCCAAGGATCTGGGGTATTACTGAAATCTTACCTTCATTTATTGTAGATCTTCCCCTGGGAAATGGGCTTTTGTTCTTGGAAAGACATAGCAATGGTCTATGTCACTGCATTTGTCACAACTGGTAGGCAGCATTTCCTCCTCTACCCACGGCTGTCTTTGTAGGCAGAACACATAAACACACACGGCAGGGTGGGCCGATGGAAACAGGGGGCTGCAGCAGAGAAGGGCAGTAGGAAGGAAAGCATGCGGACTTTGGAGTCATACTTATCTAAGGTCAGTTCTCTGTCCCATAGGATGTTCACCTTTAGATAGGGGCAAGTGATATCCCATCTCTGAGCACATATTTTTGAACATGAAAAATAGAGAACATATGTACTCTATTGAGGATATATTACATTACGTATATTACATTTGCAAGATACTACATTAACCACACTGCAGAGACTTGGTTAAGGTAGGTTGCTTATTCCCGGATGAGGATTGGCAAGAATATTTCCTGAGGGCCCTGCCTGTTGGACCATGGCTGCCCTGCGTGGGTATGTGTGATGATAAGCCCTGCTTCACCTGAAGGGAAATGCATTACCATGAAGAAGAGTGTGAGAGGTGAGGGCCATGGGCGCTCTTTGGATAGCCAGCTGGTATTTAAAGGCTCTTGAGGGCACTTGATGTGCTTTCTCCTCAGTAGTTAACTGGATCACTGACTCAAAAATTCCTTACACCTGTGATCACTTTGGCTGTGGGTAGGGACTCTAAGCTGAGCACTAACATAGCCTCTTGTCTTCTTGCCCCATATCTCACCCTTCCTCATACCATGCTTGAACTTAAGCAGCAAATTTACCTTTGCTATGATAAAAACCCAGAAGAAACTAGCAATAGAAAGAACAAACCTCCAACATAAAATACCTTGGGGTAACGCTAACCAAACAAGTGAAAGACCTGTATCATAAGAACTTTGAATCTTTAAAGAAAGAAATTAAAGAAGTCCTCAGAAAATGGAAAGATCTCCCATGCTCTTGGATAGGTAGGATCAATGTAGTAAAAATGGCAATCCTGCCAAAAGCAATCTACAGATTCAATGCAATCCCCATTAAAATCCCAGCACAATTCTTCACAGACCTTGAAAGAACAATAATCAATTTTGTATGGAAAAACAAAAGACCCAGGATAGCCAAAACAACCCTGTTCAACAAGGCAACGTCCGGAGGCATCACCATCCCTGACCTCAAGCTCTATTATAGAGCTATAGTCCTGAAAACAGCTTGGTATTGGCACAAAAATAGACAGGTAGACCAATGGAATCGAATTGAAAATCCGGGTATTAACCCACACACGTACGAACATCTGATCTTTGACAAAGAAGCTAAAAATATACAATGGAATAAAGAAAGCATCTTCAACAAATGGTGCTGGCATAACTGGAGACTGGCATGTAGAAGAATGCGGATCGATCCATGTTTATCGCCATGCACAAAACTTAAGTCCAAATGGATCAAAGACCTCAACATAAATCCAGCCACACTGAACCTCTTAGAAGAGGAAGTGGGTGGTACCCTTGAACGAATTGGTACAGGAGAGAGCTTCCTGAACATAACACCAGTAGCACAGACAGTGAGATCAACAATTAATAAATGGGACCTACTGAAACTGAGAAGCTTCTGTAAGGCAAAGGACACAGTCAGCAAGACAAAAAGGAAGGCCACAGAATGGGAAAAAATATTCACTAATCCCACATCCAACAGAGGGTTGATCTCCAAAATTTACAAAGAACTCAAGAAGCAAGTCTCCAAAACACCAAAGGACCCAATTAAAAAGTGGGCTGCAGAACTAAATAGAGAGTTTTCAATAGAGGAGTCTAAAATGGCTGAGAGGCACTTGAGAAAGTGCTCAACACCCTTAGCCATCCGGGAAATGCAAATCAAAACAACTCTGAGATACCATCTCACTCCTGTCAGAAGGGCTAAAATCAAAAACACCAATGACAATTTATGCTGGAGAGGATGTGGTGAAAGGGGGACACTCCTCCATTGCTGGTGGGAGTGCCAACTGGTTCAGCCACTTTGGAAATCAGTATGGAGATTCCTCAGAAAAATGGGAATAAACCTACCACAAGACCCAGCAACTCCACTCTTAGGCATATATCCAAAAGATGCCCATTCATACAACAAAGATGTCTGTTCCACTATGTTCATAGCAGCTTTATTTGTAATTGCCAGAACTTGGAAGCAACCTAGATGTCCCTCAACCGAAGAGTGGATAGAGAAAATGTGGTACATTTACACAATGGAGTACTATTCAGCAGAAAAAAACAATGGAATCATGAGATTCGCAGGCAAATGGATGACACTAGAAGAAACCATCCTGAGTGAGGTAACCCAGTCACAAAAAGAGAAACATGGCATGTACTCTCTCATATATGGATTTTAGGCATAGATCTGGGGAGTGCCAGCCTACAATCCTATGGCCAGAGAGAGTCATTTAGTGGCTGATCAAAGAAGAGGCAGACTCCCTCAGTTAAGTACTGAGCCGAACTCAAGAAAGCCAGTAACAGAGAGGGAGGACTGATGATCAAAGGGATTAAGACTGGGCTGGTTTAACCCCCAGAAGCAGCTGACCAGACAAAGGTTAACTCTTGAATCCCAGGCATCAGCCTGGGAAGCCAGCATGGGACTGATCAAGACCCCCTGAATCTGGGTGTCAGTGAGGAGGCCTAGGGAATCTATTGAGCCTTGGGCAGCAGATCAGTACCCATCCCAAGTATACACACGGTCTTTGGACTCCCATTGAACAATGTGAGGTGCACTCTCACCCTGAACTCTTGGGGAAGGATCTAGGCCCTGCCCTATATGAAATGACAGACTATGGACACCCCCATGGAGGGCCTCACCCTCCCTGGGGGAATGAGGGGATAATGGGGGGGTTGGGGGGAGGGCACGGGAGGAGAGGAGGGAAAGGGAGAGGAACCTGGAACTGACTTGTTTCTTATCTAAATTTAAACTGGAAAATAAAATTTTTAAAAAAATTTTAAAAAAAGAAACCTCTAGTTTTGAACTCATAAGCCATGTGCCAGGAAATGTATTCTGTTTTAAAAATGAGAAAATAAAAATGAGTGTGCAAAAAAAAAAGAAAGAACAAACCTCAACATAACAAGGCTATATACAATACTTCTATAGCCAACATTATACTAAATGAGGTTAAATTGAGAGCATTACCTCTAAAACATGAGGCCAGATACAGGTGTCCACTATCTCCACTCTCACTCACTATAGTGTTTTAAGTCTTAACCAAAGTAATAAGACAAGAAAAAGAAATAATACATGTGTAGGGGGTGCTGGATGTTTCTGCAGCTAGCAGAGGACTTGGGTCCTAGTCCCAGCATCCACATAGTGGTTCACAACCATCTGTAACTCCAGTTCCTGGAGATTTGTCACCCTCTTCTAATCACGACAGGCACCAAACACACACGTGGTACACATAAATTACTTGTAGGCAAAAAAAACTCACACATAAAATAGATTGTTAAGAGAAGCTTTTCCTTTTGCTAGCCGCTTTGGTTTATCCCCCGCCAGTCGCCTGGGCTCTGCCGCGCTAGCCTGGTTCTAGATCCGCATGAGTCCCAAATAAACACACAGGAGGCTATATGAATTATGAAGCTGTTGGCCTTGCTTGTTTCTAACTGGCTAGCTCTGACTTAAGTAATTACCCCATAATTGTTAATCTAAGTATGTTTCTTACCGGGGAGGTTCCAGGTTTCCTACCCCAATGGCGGTTACATCTCGAACTCTCTTGTGTTTCCCCTTCCCAGAATCCTCCTCGAATCCTAGTCCCTCCTATCTAGGTTTTCTATTGGCCAGACAGTACTTTATTGACAAATGCACAGGCAAATAACAGGACTTCCCCAACAATAGATAATTTTAAAAATTTTAAAAAGAACACAAATGGGAAAGGAAGATGTCAAATTATCTGGATTTGTAGACAACATAAGCCTGTACTTAAAAGACCCTCAATAGTCCCACAGTATCTTAGTCTCTGTCTTACTGCTGTGAAGAGACACTATGATCAAAGCAACTCTTCTAAGAGAAAACATTTAATTGGGGCTGGCTTACAGTTTCAGAGGTTTAGTCCATTGTCATCAAAGCAGGGAGCATGGCAGTTAATCCTGACCTGTAAGCAGAGAGGGGAGAGTGAGAGAGTTGGGGGGGGCATCTGGTGCTGGCATGGGCTTTTGAAATCTCAAAGCTTACTCCCAGTAATACCTTCCTCCAACAAGGCCACACCTCCTAATCCTTCTAATCCCTTTCAAATAGTGCCGCTCCCTGGTGACTCAGCATTCAAATATGTGAGCCTATGGGGACCATTCCTGTTTAAACCACCACAGTCAGAAATATCTAAGATCTGATAAATGCTTCTAGAAAAGTAGTAAAATACAAAATCAGCATAGTAAAACCTGTAGCTTTTCTATATACTAATGAAAAACTCATTGAGAAATTGAAGTTCAGAAAGAAAAATCTGTTTATCATAGTTTCAAAAAAAAAAGCTAGAAATAAACCTAGCCAAAATGATGAAAGAGAATTATAATAAAGGAAAAAGATGACACTACAAAATGGAAAGGCCTCCCATGTTTGTGGATAGGCAGAATTAATATTGTAAAAGAGCTGTATTAGCAAAAACAACTTATAGAATCAATATAATCACTATCAAAAGCCCAATGAAAGTTTTCACATACCTAGGGAAAAAAACCCTAAATCCTCTCCTTACTTTCTATGATGTAATGGAACCTTCTTAGAATACACTTCTTTTTAAGCAGAATACTTAGCATTTGTTTGGAATGTGCGTGTGTGTTCATGTGTGTTCATGTGTGTACACAGGTACACTTGCCATGCACATGTGCAGAGGCCAAAACAGAATGCCTCTCTTCCTCAGACCACACACTATGGTCCTGTCCCTTATGTGAGCATCATAGAGATGAAACGATTTTCCTCCAGAGAAGGTCCCATTAACAGAAATAATTGAGCTCGGGATACCTTTACCTCGCTGGAGATGTTTTCTCTACACTCTGTCAAATCTTCCAGGCATGTATGCATGTTAGCCTGTTACACTCCAGTGTGAATACTGCAAGAGTCATGAACTTTGAAGTCAGCGAGGAAGCATGGCTTCAATGTTTACAAATTTGACTTGTTTGGAGAAGTAGTAAAGAGTCCATGAGCCTGGGTTTCCTCACCTTGGAGACCACGGTACCTGATGCGACACACTGGCATGTGACACACTGCCACAGAATATGGTACAGTTGAGCTACTTAAAAATTGTAGCTTCTCTAACTCCCCATTTTTTATGCTCATCCCATACTATCGGCCTAATAATTTCCTGTCCCCCCTCTATCTCTAAGATGTAAGTTCTAAGGCTCAGAATAAGAGGGGCAGTCACTGTTGGCAATCTCCAATCTTTAGATTGGTTATTTGGGAATGGGCAGGCGGTACAGAAACTTCCACCTACGAATGGCACCCAGTATGGGGCTAAAATTTCCACTTAAGACTTTACAAAGCTTAAAGAAGGATTCTAAACACAGGAATGGAGTCAAGCACAGCTTCTTTGTAACGAGAGCTTTCTGGCCCGGAAGGTCTCACTGCCCTTCAGCCCGAAACGAACACACAGATGATATATTAGTTATTAAACTGTTAGCTGGTGGCATGGGCTTCTTATTGGCTAGTTGTTATTTTATTTGTTAATTTTAACCCATTTCTATTAATCTATGTTATTTCCATGTGGTCTTGGCTTACCAGAAAAGGGTCCAGACCGGCTACTCCTTTGGTGGGCTACATGGCAACTGGGTCTGCCTGTTTCCCAGAATTCTCCCCATCTCCTAGTCCCATCTATCTCCTGCCTCTATTGGCCACAGTGTTTTATTCATCAACCAATAAGGAAAGCACATATACAGAAGGACAACCCCCATCATCTCTTCTTTTCTGTCTAAATAAAAAGAAGAGTTTTAATTTTTTATTTTATTTTATTTTATTATTTATTTTAATACAAAGCCTTGGCATTAGCAATTTTATGAAAAAATAAAATGTACTAAAAATAAGCGCTTGTGTGGCACGACTGGTAAATGATGCACAAAAATAGGTTCTTTTTTCCTTCAAAGCAATCAGTCAGAAAGCAGTGTTTTTCCTTCCTCAAAACCATTCTACCTCATTAGCATTCAAGCTAGCTGTGGCTCTGAAGGTCGTGTAGCAGAGTGTGAGAGCACTGAGGAGGCCAAAACTGTCGATAATAAACCATTCTTCTGTTACTGCAAGGTTGATTTTACCCGTTCGAGGAGTGAGCTCCCCATCTTGAGGAAGAGGCGATTGCCTGAAGTTCACAGTGGCTCAAGACCAAGGGAACTGTCGCTGGCAAGGTCACTGAGGGCTGATCTGCAGTTAACTGCTTGAGTTCTGGTGAGCCTTTCCATATCAAATGCTACATTATCAGCACATGGCAGATTTGGCACAATTCCTAGGGCTTTCAAGATATTAAGTTTGCACACAGAACAGGCATGGTGTTCACTAAGCCAGGGATCCACGCATGGTTTGTGGGAAACGTGCTTGCAGGGGAGAACCCGAACATCATTCTGCTTATAGCTCTCCATGCAGACTGAACAATGGTCGAAGCCTGGGTCTGTTTCCTTATCGCCCTTCCTTATCGCGGCATTCGAGTTCCAACAGCTATTGTCATTTGTACAGAGATGTTTTTCTCCAGATAACTCAAAATATCAATTCTGTTATCATGACAGCAATAGTATCTCCCGTACCTGGATGAGTCATGGTGACCTGCTCGTCTTTCGATTTGTTATTGTAGATGACTACAGCAACCACATTGTGGAAAGCAGCCCATGATATTTTCTCTTTAAAGGTGCAATTTCCTCTTTGCAGCAGGGCGATCCACTATTTGATATTAGGAGGGACAAAGAATCGTGTTTGAGGATCACAGCCCAGATGATCAGCAACTCCGTGGATGGGCAGCATTGCCAGCACCTGGCCACAGACCTCAGCCTTGGATGAGTCGAGCCGGTGATGTTCCCAGTCGATGCCGAACGTGAGCTGGGTGCTTCGGCCCGGCTCCTGCACCGTCACGTTGATGAGCTCCGTGTAGTACTCCTGGCTCTTGTTATCTGCCGGTGTAGGCCACAGGCTGCAGGTCAGCAGTGCCAGCAGCACCGAGAGTCGGACACCGCTCATCGTCCATCCGGCAGCTGCCCCGCCCCTGCTGCTCAGGGACTGGGCTCCAGGGTCGGCTGAGGGTTTTAATTTTAACATACTAAAATTATATATCACAAAACAATTATCAAGTAAGAACTATAGTTAGAAATATTTACTCCATTAACATTTGGCAAATTTTATAGAAAATATCCTATCATCTATCCTACTTTTGTGAGTCCAAAGTTTTATATGTAACTTACCTTTTTTCATAACTAAGGAAAACCAAAGCCATAACTATCTGTCTTCAACTCCACCAAAGACCACAGAAGGATAATATATAAACTTTAATTGACAGAGACATCTCACTGCCTGGACAGTCACCTGAAGTTCCTCTGTAATGTTGGAGCATTCATCTTCAGCCCATAGGCCATAGTGTGCCTGGCAGACTTCTCAGCAAAGCAGGAAATTTGAAACTGGCCCACCTGTATGGGCAGTTTGTCAGTCATTTTTCTCTGTGTCCTGCAGAATGTCTGGCAGACTCTTCCACGAAGCAGAAACTCTGCAGTACTGACCCATCTTGCTTTGCAAGTTCAGCAGTCACTTTCCTGTGGGTCTTGCATGTCTGTCCATCTTGTACAGCAACAGTCAAACAGTCCAGGCAAGAGCAGTTTCTTGCCCAAATGGCTATTTCTGCCGTGTTGCAGGCAAACTCCATAATGTGTTTCTTTGATGCCCATTTTCCTCTCTGAAGTAATTGTTTTGCCAGTAGCAGTTGTGTCTCTTTGCCATGAAAAACCCTAAACCATTTTAAATGCCATATTCTGTAGGTCTTTGACAGGTTTGAAGAATATCCATCTCAAATATATCTCTATATATCTATAAAACCTAATTGGCATAATTATAAGTTTCGACTATTCTAGGTGACTATCATCTTATTTAATTATACATTATATTTTTAAAGATCTGTATAAACTCAATACCTAAACAAGAGTAGGAATATAAATATAACAAGATTAACCTTAAATTTGTATCAATAAACCAGAATCCATAGCAATACAAAGTATTCATTTCTATATCAATTTACCCTTTTTTCCTTTAAAAAGATACTGACTGTGATCATTAACCATTTATAACCAACCCCGTATAAATGAAAAAAATTTATAAACAATATTTGGGAATTTGGGTGTCGTTCTCTCTACACTGCTTCCTGATGTTTGGGGGTACTGTCAAATCCTTGGGAATCCTGAGAAAACCCAGAAATCTGGCCAGGTCCTTGTTTTTGTAGTCTGCAAGGCTACATTGTCTCAGCTGTCTTAGATGTTGGATCACCTGGGTCACTACTTCAGGGGGTCTTGCTTCATCTAACCATATTAGTCTGGAAGGAATCCACAGCTTTTCATTCTCTGTGGAAACAAAAACAGATTTCCTTTTCCAAAGTAACCTGTCCTTAGATTTAAATTTTGAAGTCAAAGTATTTTTAAAATATATATGTTAGATTAATTCAGCAGCATTGATAATCAAATGTCTTTTAGCATTTGTTCCTCCTTCCCCAGCAATTAAAAAATTCAGAGACAGCAGAATAGCATGTAGTATCGAGACTCTGTGTACTTTCCATCTTTATGTGGCTTTTTTTTATTACTCTATTTCTTTTACTTTCATTTTTCATTTTATGAGACAGGGTTTCTCCATGTAACTTTGGTTGCTCTTGAACTCACTCTGTAGACCATGTTGGCCTTGAAATCACAGATATCTGCCTGCCTCTACCTCCCAAGGGTTATAGGCGTGTGCCACCATTGCCCAGCTACTCTATTTATTTTCTTTTTTTAACCACTTTATCCTGTTTCTTTTCTCTCACAAGCCCAAGTATATTTTTAAACACACTGTAAACCCTTTAGAGGTTTTACTTCATCTGAATCTGTCTTTACTGAATATGTTTATTTTTTTCTGGCCATGAATCTTTTATCTGCTAAACAGTGTTGCTAAAATTAAAGCAGTGACTTTCCAAGATGGCAGGGGGGTTGAGGGAGTGTATGCTTACTACCAGCTAGGAGCTGTGCTCACTGCCTTGGTCTATGTTGCTATCAAACAGCATGCTACTGGCTTGGAGACATGGTCACTGCTGATGCCAGATGCTTGTACGCACCATTCCATTGCTAGCAGGGCCTCTTAAGAGAGCCTTGAGATTTTTGCCACTTATGCTGAGTCAGGAAACCTCCCTTAAAGGAGCCATGAGCCTCTGCTTGTCTATAGCAAACAGAGCTCATCCAAGAAAATGCTGCTACCAAGAAGCCTTGCTTATCTCTGTTCTTTTGTTTTTAGAATCCCTTTTTAAGGGCTGGAGAGATGGCTCGGCGGCTAAGAACACTGGCTGGTCTTCCAGAGGTCCTGAGTTCAGTTCCCAGCAACCACATGATGGCTCACAACATCTGTAATGAGATCTTGTGTCCTCTTCTGACATGCAGGGATACATGTATACACAATAAATAAATAAATAAATAATCACCATTTGTAGTGGAGGCTCTTTGCCCAGCTGGTCCTACCACCCTTCTCAGCCCCAAATAAACACACAGACGTTGTATTAATTATAAGTTGTTGGCTGATGACTAGGGCTTCTCCTTGCCTAGCTCTGTCTTAATTATTAACCCATTTCTATCAAAGTTTTTCCATGTGGTCTTGGCTTACTGGAGAATGCCTTGCATGACAGCAGCTATTCATTCACACTCAAAATACCCAGAAAAGGAATGGATTCAGACAAAACTGTTGAACTTTATTATGTGGGGCACCAAATGCATGGGAGGAAAGAGCAGATCTGAGCAGCCCACTGGATTCCACGGGGCCTTGGAGGACGAGGGCCTTGAGGATCAAACGGCTCATTCAAATGGTGATGGGGAAGTATGTGGCCGTGGGCAGGACTATTTCGTCTTGGATTCCGTTTGATGTCTCTTTGGACTGGACTGGCTCCTGGGTGACTTTGTGCTTTTTGTTTTCCAGTTCATTGACGCAACAGTATTTTGCATGCAGACATCCCACCTCCGCTATCTCCCCTAATTTGCATCTCTTCCTGCAGTAGCCTGATACATTGTTAAAGCATCTTTTGGATTGTACACCATCTGAAGGCAGGAAACAACATTGAGCAGGGTTACTTTCTGAGGGAAAGCAAAGATGTAGCTGGGTTTCACACTCACAGGGACAGCAGACACCGCCCTCTGCCAACATCTCCCCTGTCCCATACGGAAACTTATGCTGATACAAGGAAACTCAGAACACTCAAATTAAGGACACTCAAGGGGCTGGAGAGATGGCTCAGCTGCCAAGACTGCTTTCTATACTTGCAAAGGGCCTGGGTTTGGTTCCCCGCACCCATGTGGGGGTTCACAGCTTATCTGTAAACGTTCCAAGGCCTCTTCTGGCCTCTGTGGGCACTAGACACACATGGGATGCACACACATGTGTGCTGGCAGAACACATGTACACCTAAAATTACTCTTTAATTTTAAAAAAGGACAGCTGGTCCTGGCCAGTACCCAAACAGCCTCAGAAACATTCATGACAAGAAGGAAGAGACTGACTCCTCTTCACAAACCGACCTGGGTACTATCCTAACCCAGGCAAAGCCCACCCTGCTCCATGCTCTGATGTCAGCACTCCCTCAGCCTTGTCTCCCCAGAGACACTAATGCATCCCCATCAGTACACTTCACAGCCAACTCAGCTTTTAAAAGAACGTACCAGGATGGCCCTGAACATAGAGACACCTGCCATGAAAGCCTGGCAGTCTATGCCCAATCCCCGCAACCCACATAAGCTGGAAGGAGAAAGTAAGTCCACAGAGTTGTCCTCTGACCTCCACTTACACCCCGTGGCACACATGCGACCACAAATACACTTCACGCATGTACAATAATAATCAAATAAAGTTTAATTTTTTACATGGCTTCAGGAGGCCAGACTCAGATCCTCATTCTCACGTAGCAAATGCACTCTTACTGGGCATCTCCTCAGCAATATTTTTAATTAAAAAAAATCACAGAGGTCAGGAGAGATGTCTCAGGAGGTAAAAAAAGACTTGTTGCACAACGTCTGAGTTCAAATCCCCTTGTGCCCACATAAAAAGACAGGTGTGGCTGTGCCCGTGACCCCAGCACTGACTGTTGGGGGACAAGGTAAAGACAGGAGGGTTGTGGGGCTTGCCAGTTGCCAGCCTAGCTCCAGGTTCAGTAAGAGAGCCTATCTCAAGGGAGCGAGGCAGAGACTGGTAGAGCAGGACACCCAGGGCATGTGGGTGGATATGCACAACACACACACACACACACATACAACATCACAGACACACACTGATTCCAACAAGCACCATCATAGACTCTAACTCTCTCTCTCTCTCTCTCACACACACACACACACACACACACACACATACACACGCACACAACATCACAGACACACACTGATTCCAACAAGCACCATCATAGACTCTAACTCTCTCTCTCTCTCTCTCTCACACACACACACACACACACACACACACACACACCACAGACAGTCCTTTTGCATTTCATCACCCTTGCCAAGATATCATGAGTTCAGCCACCGTTGCTCCCAAGAATTCCTTCTGCTCATCCCAACAACTTCTCCAGAACCTCTCTCTCTCTCACTTTCTTCTTCAACTCAGATAAATGTCTTACCTAGTGAGCAAACACAGCTTGATAGGCACCTCTGCCCATCAGAATCCCAACTTCCCCCTACTCGTGTACTAAGGTCCCAATGTCTCTGTCTAAGCCTTAATTTCCCTCTTTACACAAAATCAGACAGGCCTGAAGAATAAATGTGGACAACAAAGATGTATTCTCCCTCTTCTCAAACGTCATAATGAGCAACACCCTTGAAGATGAGAGAGCTGTATTTTGAGGGCCATGAGAAATGCAATATGGTTCCTTGCAAGCAAGGCAGAAGGGAGGAGACCTTGATGCCAGGATTTCTTCCATCAAGGCAAGGCTTCACATCTTTGCATCTGAGCTAGAGTTGTTACACCCACTTGCCAGAAGAGAAAAAATTAAGATTAAAAGGAATAATTTTCTCTGTTAATTAGCTACTTAATGATGAAGAAAGATTTTTGCTCTATGCTATTCACATCAGTGCTGCAGCCCAGGCAGAAAATGAATTTGAGTAGAAACGGGGTAGCCAAAGTTCTCCGATAAAAACTACTCAGCGTCCTAATGACGACTCCAGATGAACTGATCAGTTCCTTCTGCAAGGATGCCTCTGGCCGCATTGCTGGCTCCCTCCCCGGCACCCAGGAGAATGGGCACTACTGATGATATTAGCCAGCTACCAGCAATCTTCAGCATCCCATCCCTGTGGTCACCAGCACTAGTGTTCCCTACTTCGGGGTGCATTTGGTCAAGTTACCTGCAAGTACCACAAAGAGCAGGATAATGAGAACCTTAAGCAGCTTCATGTTTACAGACCCTCCAGACACAGCGGGGTATCCTGCAGTGCAGCACAGCTCACAGCAGCACATGCCAAGCTTGGTTTTAACTCACATAGACAGACAGGGAGTTCAAGCCCAAGCCCACCCACATCCCCAGACTTGGTCACAGAATGTTCCAGCCTCTCCCACCTACTCCCTTTCCCTCAGGATGTGAGCCCCTGCTGTGCTTTCTCCACCTGGCTGTCAGCCCACTTGGCTCAAAGATGGTTGCCTGTATTCCCTGGTTTGGATGAGCCATCCCTGCTTTATGATCAGCATTGCCTCTCGCTCACAAAAACAATCCAAAATGGCACATAGTGTTAGATTAGAATCCATGAGAGACTGGGGACAAGATACCCAACAAAACAATGCTGTATCACAAGCTGTATTGGCCACACCCTCAGTTCAACATACACCTTGCATCGTTTAGGAAGCAGCCTGTGCTGAGACCATTAGTTTTCTAGTTTCCTTCTGATGACACTATTCCACCTTGAAAGGAACAATGACCACCTGCTTCATGCGTTCGTCCCTAAGTCTGTCCATCTAGCAGGTTCTTTCAAGTCTCTGAGCTGTCAAATTGCCATCTGGATCAGGTACAAGAAGCACACAGCCTCCTCATTTTCAGAGTTGTTTATGGCTAACCATCAAGTTCCTCTTGAGTAGGCTGGAAAAGATAATGAAATCTTGCTTGATAGATGTGGCCAGGTTTTTGGTGGTGTATTTTTATTTTTAATCACCTGTCAACATATTTACTCCCACCAGCATCCACAGTCACACAAATTGTTTTTAATACTTACTTATAAATAGATTTTAAATGTGTTTCACTTCTGATGAAGGTTCTCTGTATTCTACTTAAGATATTATCTTTCCAAACTGTTGCACAGGCTGAATTTGGAAGAACAGGAGTGCTAATTCTCACACAAAAAGATTGAGACAGTTGAGGACATTTGTTTAGAAGCAGAGAATGAGTGATTGACAATTCAAGCTGCAAAAGTCAGACATGCATTTATCAAAAAGGAAAAGAACAGAAAAATCCTTTTTTAAAAGATTCATTTATTTTTATTTTATATGTATGAGTGTTTGCCAATATATACATCTGTGTACCACACACATGCCTAATGCCCATGGAGGCCAAGGCAAGGTATCAGATCCCCTAGAACTGGAGTTATAGACAGTTGGAAGCTGCCATGTGGGTGCTGGGAATCAAACCTGGGTCCTCTGCAAGGTAGATGGATGTCTGTGAGTTTGAGGCCAGCCTGGTCTGGTCTATAAAATGAGTTTTTGATTTCAGGCCAGCCAGGGCTACCTAATGTGATTCTATCTAGGAAGGAAGGAAGGAAAAGAAAAAACTTCCCCACTGAGAAGCACTCCTCATTGTTTTAGACATAAAATATTAGTTACAAATAACTGTTCAAATGTCTTAGAGCAGTGGTTCTCAACCTGTGGGTCACAACCCCTTTGAGAGTCAAATGACCCTTTCCACAGGGGTCATCTAAGACCATCAGAAAATACATATATTTATATTATGACTCATAACAGCTGCAAAATTACAGTTATGAAGTAGCAATGAAAATAACTTTATGGTTGGGGGTTACTACAACATGAGGAACTGTATTAAAGGGTCACAGCATTCATTAGGAAGGTTGAAAACCACTTTCTCAGATGAATAAATTTTCATAGTTCAGAAAGCATAGATTTAAAAACTAGCCAAAATTATATCCTTAGTCTATTCCTTTTCTATTATCAGAGCAAGAGTCAGAAAAATATACTTTTCCCAGTTGAAACTCTCCACCCAGTAATCCTGTGGTCCTCAGACAGCTCCCGATCTCCAGCGTGACACCTTTGAATGGCTGCCCAGCTTTCATTATCTTCCACTGAAATGCCAAACTTTGGATTTCAAGTACCACCTAGTGGCCAATTCTTTTCCCTAGTTGCCCAGGCATCCAGACTTCAATACTGTGTAATAACTCCACCGAAATGATATAAATCCATTGTTCTGCACGGTGCATAGACATCTAGAGACCTCAGCCTCAAAGGATGTGCCAGTGAGGCTGGAGAAACGGCTCAGCAGCGAAGGACACTCACTGTTCTTGCAGAGGACCCAGAAGACATGAATTTGCTCACAGCCACTTGTAACTCCAGTTCCCAGGAATCCAACAGCCTATTCTAACCTCCACAGGAGGAGCCAGGGAAAGGAGGATCCCAGGGGCTCATGGCCAGGCTGTCTAGCTAATTAGTGCATTCTATATTGGGTGAGATGCTGGATGTGGTAGCCACGACTTTAATCCCAGCACTCAGGAGGCAGAGGCTCTCTGTGAGTGCAAGGCCAGCATGGTCTACTGTGGTAGTTTGAATGTAATTGGCTCCCAAGAGCTCACAGGGAGCAGCATTATTAGGAGATGTGGCTTTGTTGGAATAGGCATGCCCTTGTTGGAGGAAGTGTGTTGCTGTGGAGGCAGGATTTGAGGTTTCATATGCTCAAGCCATGCCCCATGTCTCAGATGACTGTCAATGCTAGGATGGAACAGAAAGACCTATTGCTAGAGACCATAAACTTGAGTCAGAACATGGAGAAATCAAGTGAATACTGTCCCTGGAAGCATCTTCCCTATTGGATAGCTCTCACAGAGCTGGGAGGTGCTATGCATGCTACCAGAGAGGAAAGGTAATCGCCAGTCTTGCCCCACTGTGAATCCTGTGAGCTGCAATAACAGCTGGCCTGGCAGCGTATGACAAGAGCTAAATGGGCCATCTGCATTATACCAAGAGCTAAATGGACCATCTGCATTATACCAGGAACTAAATGGACCATCTACATTATACCAGGAGCTAAATGGGACCATCTGCATTATACCATTTTCTCCCCAGACTCAGAGATCACCTCTGAAGAGGGGCAGAGCAATTGTTAGAGCCAGAAGCAGAAGGTGACTACAAAGAAACAGTGTTTCTCATATTCATCAGGCAGTTGCATATAAAAACTCACAGGGGTTGTGACAGCATGCATAAGACCTGCACAAGATCAAGCCAAAAAGAAATTGCAGTGTGGAGAAAGGCACCAAGTTCTACCCCTTGCTCAGACACTTTTGGGAACTGATAGCTTCCGGGAGAAGGAATGTTGGTTTTCTTTAAGGTGGTGACTCCTAGTAAGATGACCACATTACAGGGAATGGACCCACGTGAAAGAGAGTTTGGGCAGCACAAATGAGTTATTTTATTTTAAAAAAAATTACTTGAGGGGCTGGAGAGACCTCTCATTGGTTAAGAGCACTTGTTGCTCTTGCAGAGGACTGCGGCGCCAGCACCACAAACTAGGTCCGAGATATCAAGAAAAGAAAGACCAGACGTCCAACTGTTTGTACTAAGAGAATGTATATGTTGCCTTTATTGCCAGGAGAATATGTGTGTGTGTGTGTGTGTGTGTGTGTGTGTGTGTGTGTGTGTGTGTGTGTGTTTTCATTGCAAGTGCTAAGAGGTCTCTTCCTGCTGTTAAGGGGCGCTGAAATACCATGGGGATCATGACAAAAAAAAAACCCAGAAACTTGTTAAAGTTCTTGTTTTTGTGGTCTGTAGGGCTGCATCATCTCAGCTGTTTTAGATGTTGGATCACCTGGGCCACTGCTTCAGGTGGTCTTGCTTCATCAAACCATACTAGTCTGGAAGGAACCCACAGCTTTTTATGTTCTGTGGAAACAAAAGCAAAAATTCTTTTCCCAAGTAACCTGTCCTTATATTTAAATTTAGAAGTCAAAGCATTTTCAAAACATGCAAGTTGGATTAATTTAGCAACACTAATAATCAAATGTCTTTTAGCAGTTTTTGTTCCTTTCTTAGCAATTAAACAATTTAAAGACACGACAACTGTACACAGTATCCAGACTCTCTGTGTATTTCTCATTTCATATACTTTTATCTTTTCCTTTTCTTTTACTTAATATCAGTACCTCCTTTATTAACTGTTACCAATTTTCAATTCACCCACTTTTAATCCATCCTCCAACTGAGGGCGATCTCTCAGGTTCCCCTTTCTTTCCTGACCTTGGTGTCAGGTGAAGGCCTGGAGATTTAATCCAATCCACCCTCCAACCTAGGGTGATCTCTCAGGTTCCCCTTTCTTTCCTGACCTTGGTGTCAGGCGAAGGCCTGTAGATTTAATCTAATCCACCCTCCAACCTAGGGTGATCTCTCAAGCAAACCCTGGAGATTTGACCATTGAATTTTACTGTTAGAAGATGAGGTACCTGTTCTTAATTCTTTTCTTTCTTGAGTCTCTCCTCTCCCGAGTCTTCTTTCTGGCCAATCTTTCCCAGTTTTTCCAAATCTCTCTGGATCTCGGTGGAACCTCCAATTGCAGCGCTAGCACCACAAGCTAGGTCCGAGATATTAAGAAAAGAAAGACCAGACGTCCAGCTGTTTGTACTAAGAGAATGCATATGTTGCCTTTATTGCCAGGAGAATGTGTGTGTGTGTGTGTCTTCATTGCAAGTGCTAAGAGGTTTCACCCTTGTAGGAGGGAGGAGCTTTATATACAGGTTTTCAGCATATTGGAAAAACCCCAGGTAGAAGAGATCATTGTTTTCCTCCTGCTGGATGTTGATGTCAGAGGGTCAAGGCTAGGGCAGTAAGCCAGGACTAGAAAACAGAAAGCACTTGGACTGGAAAACAAGTTACACTTGTAGGCTGACCGGCAACTCACAGAGACCCCATGGGGCTGGGGCCCAACAGAGGACCTGGGTTTAGTTGTACCCACATGATGGTTTACAACCATCTGATCCAGGGGGTCTGGTGCTCTCTTTTGACCTCTGTAGCAACAGGCATGCACATGGTATGCATACATACACGGAGGGAAAACACTCCTATGTGTAAAACAAATGAATCTAAATTTTTAATTTAAAAAAATTTTAAGTTAAAAATAAATTTAAAAAATTTAAGCACACAAAATTGGGTGGGTAGGGAAGTGAGGATAAAGTTTGGAGAAGTTTCAGGGTGGATTCATTTAAAATACACTGTATGAGGTACTCAAATAATTATAAGCATATTATTTTTAGGAAAAATTA